CCAAGCTTGTTCCAAGTAGATGCTTTAGACCACTGAGCCATCTCACCAGCCCTCAGGATAACTTTAAAGGATTGATTTAGATGTGGTATAGTGATGCATGCCTTTAATCCCAGTACTCTGGATCCTGAGGCAGGAGAATCACCTTGAATGAGTTCAAGGCCAGCTTGAATTATGGAGTGAGACCTTATCTCAAAACAAGATCAGTTACAATGTGTAAGTGAAAGCGTCTACTCCTATCTTCCAATAAGTGATTGTGTAGTCATTTTTGTCTATGGCAGGTCATGTACATTCATGGGCCTATGGATCATATTGAGTAAAAGCTCTGGTGGCTCTACTGTGGCATTTGTGCAGTTGCAGTTGTGTAGTGTATTTTTCAGTGTTGCCAAAAGTAAACATTTAAATTAATGTTTTCCTATTGCAGGATTGCTTATATTGAATTTAAGACAGAAGCTGATGCAGAAAAAACTTTTGAAGAAAAGCAAGGAACAGAGATAGATGGGAGATCTGTTTCCCTCTACTACACTGGGGAGAAAGGTCAAAATCAAGACTACAGAGGTGGCAAGAACAGCACCTGGAGCGGTAAGTAGCCATGAGCCAGAAGTGGGTGGATCTCATGGGAGTAGTTCTGGGCTTCATTATACCCCCTTCTGTATTTGCAGGCGAATCCAAAACTCTGTATTTAAGCAACCTTTCGTACAGTGCAACAGAAGAAACTCTTCAGGAAGTATTTGAGAAGGCAACTTTGATCAAAGTGCCCCAGAACCAAAATGGCAAATCTAAAGGGTAGAGCATTTACGTTGTCAAGGGCTGTGCAGGTTTCCTGTGTGGGTCTGAAGGGGGAATGACACTTAGTGTCAGGGTGGTATGGGGTGAAGGCTTGTGCTGCAGGTCCAGGGAGCAGTGGGGTTCGGCTCACCCTGACTGTGGACTCCACCATCAGGTACGCCTTCATAGAATTTGCTTCATTTGAAGATGCGAAAGAAGCTTTGAACTCTTGCAATAAAAGGGAAATTGAGGGCAGAACGATCAGACTGGAGCTGCAAGGACCTAG